TGATCTTTGGCCAATCCAGGCTATGATACATGGTTTAGAAAATGTAAAAAAAAACTGAAGTGTAACACCTCTTGCCCTTAATATATAAAACACAAAGCCACCATTGCTGATTTTTCTTACACAACTCAAGTTTGAAAATAAAGGCCCAATAATATTACCCCTTAACTCCATGATACGCTTATAATGATGACCTCATCTTAAAAAAAAAAAACAACAACATGACCTACTGGTTAATCTGGTGGATTTTTCTTAAACTGAGGGCCAATAGCTGTGCATTTAGCAGTCCTACATCACCTATGTAGCAAATAATTGGCAAAGCAGTACATTTTACACCCCAATATTAATTAGCAAAATTCTAATTTCAACTAAATAAGCATAAAAAAACATCTCGGATTCATGATTCAACTTAAACCTGAGATCTAAATCTACCCCTGTCTTCACCAGAACAAGAACTAGATATCACACCTTGTGAAAAGGTATATTAATCATACTTTCTGCAATGCAGCTCAAATGTAAGAGGAATGACGTGGTGAAAGGTCAGAGCTACCCTGTCTTTCCTTTTTGAGATAAGATTGTCTGCTGATATGCCAGGAATATGAAGTTGTTGGGGTTTGAGAGGTTATGATCTTGGCTTGGTTAAAGCTCCAGGTGCAACCCACAGCTGGGACTATCTAGGTCGATTAGAAATTCTCATTTTAAAGCTGCCAACATTACCATTTGTCAATAAGTGTATCTCTGAGAAACGCACTGCATCTCACACAAAACATACCCCTGCTGTGTAAGTTTTACTCCAACAATTTTGGAGGTTCATGATAGATTAAGTTGATGACTTTGAGGGTTTACTGAGGAGTCAAACACAATGTGATTTCTATGGTTAGAATATGTTGTATAAAGGTCACAAAAAGGTATTTCGAAACAAAAGACAGCGATGTGCAAAATCATTTTCCTGTGATAAGTCCTTTTTAATCTCTGTCTTCTTTCATTATCAGCTCCCATCACCTTCCAAGGCTCTGCTGTGCCTCTATCACTTAACAAGATTGGATCCAAAGAGATGATGTTTTTCATCCTTGCTCTCTAACTCTTTAATCTGTCAGTTTGTTTATTATTCCGATGCAATAAGACATGGTGATACGTAGGATAATCAGCAGTCGGCATGCTTCACTAAAATCCAAGCTGATTAGCACTGATAGCAGGGTGGTCTCACCTTTATAAAAAGCAGAACCACTGTTGTTTTCTTCTCTCCCCTATAGATTCTTACAACACTGTCCTCTGTTATTTTACCTATGAATCATTTTAGCAGTGCTGCGTTACGCTGAGGTAGATTTTTCATCTATGCAGAGCAGTGGCCAAGAACAATTCTAACAATCCCCAAATCAAATTAAAAGCAAAAACAGTCTGAGCCCGGCTTTGACAAGAGCAAGGCGCCTTTCATTAGAATGAGATTGATGTGGAATGACTAGGAGGCTAAGTGTGGAACATTCACTCAAACGTGCAATATTTTGCGCAGAGAGAAGCACACACTGATATGATGGAAAGAGTTGGTCCATAGCGAATGCCATTGTTTTGGGGAGGTTGTTCGTTTTTTTTTTTCGTTTCGCAAAAATATCCATCTTCACTTCTGACACAGATTGTCTATTTGACAAATGAAGTCTGCAAAATAAATTTAGCAAAACTTAGTTTAATTCCAGACTGTTATTTTGAACCCTATTGTGCGGTTCATTGAACATGCCATGGCTATATTAAATCAAGGACATAAATACAAAGCTTGCTTTCTAAAACTTAGAAATTGTAAGTTAGCAATATTATCCATCACAGATGACTTTATAATATTTGTTGTTTTTCATCCAAAGCATATGCAACTAATATCTGCCTGTGAACAAAAAATAACAAGAAACAGTTAATCAAGGTGTCATTTTGATATGTAACAATGTTATAAAAACAATGGAAAAAAATATGTAAAACTGTGACTTGCAGGCGTACTGGGACTGTACCTTCCAATAATTCCAGGGGAAAAACATTAACAGGAACATAAAGCGGGGATGCCCCTTCTTCATGTTTCATTTCTTGCATCCTCAGTCTGTCAGCTCAATCGAACAGTTTGTTAAAACAAGTTCTTAATTATTTTTTTTTTTGATTATTGGATGTTATCATAGCCTTTAAAAAAATCCCCTGGATTGCAGTAGATGAGAGCAAAACAAAAGTCTCAGACAGAGAAGGCTACTATGAACTCGTCCAGCACAATTTTTGACCACAAGAACCAGAGGAAGATATTTAGAATAAAGTACAGTAGGTCAAGCTGCTCGTGTTTGTTTTATTGTTGTGAATAGGTTAATCAATTTCCTCTACATATGCAACTTTGTGAAGCAGTCCTAAATTCGGGCACATTTTAGCCATATTTACATTACCATCTAAAAACCGATCGAAAAGAGATCTGATCAGTTAACCATGTCAAGCTCGGTTCCTTATGACCGTTTACACATCACGCTAGCACGGTTTCTTCCTAGTGGTGATCTACGCTACTACTGCTCTCTAGAGGTAAACAAGAAAATCACCCCGGTGGCGCCTGTAACATTCAGGAAGTTATGTTTTGTTATCATTGATATATTTCGTTGTTTGCGGAGAGTAGAGCAAAAAAGGCAGCCCAAATTTCAATGAGAGCCTCAGTCTCTGCTGTCACGTCTTGGTTGTGGTTTAGAGGACCCAAAATGCAGAGGCAGAGAGGCTGAGGTGAATTCTTGTAGTTTTAATGAAAACACTAATAACAGAGGCAAAATTCAAAAATCCAACTAAAATGTAACTCAGACCAGAACCACGGAGACATCAAGGGAAACACGCACAAGGAGCCAGGGAGAGACGAGGTGAGAGGACAATGGCGACAACAGGACCAGCAACTACAAGGAACCAAAAAAGAGTGAGAGCAGAGGGAGAGCATATATAGCTGACAGACAAAGGGAGGGCTAACGAGCTGACAAGGAGCAGGTGTGAGAGGAGACAACGAGGGAGCCAAGGGGAAAGGAACACACACACACACACACACACATGAGGGCAACAGAAAAACATGAGAACTAACATAAATCTAGAAATTACAACAAAAAAGGAATTAAACCAATAAAACTAGGAAACAAAGAGCAAAGTAAAGCACAATATAACCAAAACCATGACATCGGCATCATCCCTGGTCGCACCACGCTCTTTTGATGGCATTTAAAAAAATTTAGAAGATTTCATTGTTATTTACAGTCCTTCTTCTTCTTCTGTTTTGTGGTCGTTGGCAAGCAATTTACTGATGTGTATTACCACCAACTACTGGAAGCTGACTCTAAATAGGAGATAATGCAGCCTGCTCATGCAGTCTTTGTTATCAGAGAACCGCGCCACAATTGAACCATGCTGAGACATGATAATTAACTAGTACCATGTTAGCACGGTTCAGTCTTGTCTGGCGTGGTCTGGTCCAGTTCTGCATACCATTTACACTCAACAGTTGTCTCGGTTATCATGCTCGGACCAGTCTCGGCATGGTTTCAAAAGAGTAGTGTAAATGGGGCTTTTGTTAACTAAGTAGCTAACAAAAGCCCTGGTTATAAATAAAAACTAATAAGAGACCAAAACTAAGCCTTCCTATGTTAACTTACTAAATGCAGAACCATTAAGTATCATTGATTAGTTTGTTCATATCTTTTTGCCATCGGTACCAATCCACCATTAGGGACAACCAATTTATGCTTGACAGAAAGTTGAGGTGCCCAACTAATAAATATCTTTATATCTATGATAATATGATCCCTTAAATTTGTGTTTTAGCATGTTGATATTTAAAAGATGTGGTTAGGGTTGCATGGTCCGCCACTGCTCAGCAATACTAATGTGCAGCACTGAGGTCATCATCAGATGTCAAATACTGTAAGGTTTCACTTGAGTTCTCAATCATGACTGAACTAATGATCTTGGGAAAGCAGGCAAAGCTTAATACTTCCATATATTTATATTTATGATGCATCTTTGCCAAGGAAAGGCTGCTTAGCATAAAGCTGCACCTGTAGAGACATGGTCTAGTTCAGAGGAGGGTGCCAATGACTAATATTCAGCGTATGTGTGAGTGTGTTTAACATAAGTGGGTGGTCTCAGGCTGTGAAGAACTGAATCTGTGTTTAAACTGAATTTCCAGCTTGTGACCTTGGGAGTTAACTTTGCTGGACTGAATGTTATTTATTTGGACATCTCATACACACTCTTGCAAATGACCATTAGGTGCTGTGTTTGATAAACAAACTGATTGGATTGCTTGTGTGAATGTGTGTGGTTTCTCTGCCGTGCTGGGCTCAAGGCCCCTCAGAATGGGCCCAATTTCACCTCAAGGACAAAAGAACAGGCACACGTAGTCACACTTCACACGTGTTTGTGTGCACAAACACTGCGTATGTTCTCATTCACATAAATGTACTATATTTTATATGTGCTTGTTGACCTAATCTTAGGTAATACTCACTCATCAGCGTTCCCAGGACTGGTGAAGGTTTCAGGTTGCATTTTCAGTCAATAACAACCACATTGAAAGGAAAATTCTTTCTTTTGCATACTGCTTCAAACATAACCCCAAAGCTCTAACTATTGAATGAAGTCATTGTCGAGAAGCCTGATCCAAAATCATTGAGGAAAATAACTGACCAAACCATTAATCTGAGACTTGTATTTTTTACCCTGGAATTATAATTGTATTTTCTACTGAAAAATTTTTCTTTTTTGAAATTTCTAGTGGTTAGCAGTGCGCTTGTGCTCTGAGAATGTTAAAAGCATGCAGTTCGATCCCGACAGCCTGCACCCTGGGTCCCTGAGAAAGACCCTTACCCCACAATGCTCCCTGGGTGCCGCACAATGGCAGCCCACTGCTCCACAACGGGATGGGTTTCATTGCTTTGTGTTTTTGACAGTGTGATAACAAAAAAGTTGAGTTTTGTTCTATTCTATTTTTCTATCCTAATTTTTTTTTCTTTTCTCAGGCGAATATCCGGGAATCAGCTGAGGTATATCTCTAGCAGTTCTCTCCAGGGTCTTCACAACCTCAGAGTTCTGTAAGTACCCACCTTATGTCTCCTTTAATAAATGGATTTAGCTTCATCCAGTGCTGAATGTTCTTGGATTATTCAGGGAAGCTCCCCTCCTGTCTGAAATAAAATTCACTGGCCACGCATCATTAAATGTAGTGAAAGTTTATGGATTGGAAGAGACAAGTTATGCTTGTAGCTCAGTTCAAGTTTTAAACAAGCTTGAGTTCCAAGACTGAATTTATGGACGTACCTACGTTTAGCACCTCCACAGGTGTGGAAAAGGAACTTCCGAATCCCATTCCCCACTCAGACCTTTCAAGTGTGAAAAGATTGCTTCATAATTCCAGCTGTTTCCTGTGAAACCTTAGCTTATATCTTACGATCCATGGCTACTAACTATTAGAATGACAGCAAAAATACAATATTTACAACAACAAAAAAGCATGCATGTAACAAAGTAGAAAGTGCGTTTTGGCATCTGATATTTCATAAGATGTGGCCAGAATTTGAGTGATTTTTTTTTTAGGTTTAAAAGAAGTTTTCACAAGCCCTGGATGAAGCCAATCTTGGGCTCTGGCTCGGAACAGTTTAGGGATTAATGCCACAAAATATAAACTAAGCTAGTACAAAGTGGTTTGTAATCTGAGAAAGTTCCGAAACGGATCAGGCAAACCTGTGTATATTTTATGAATGTGGTTTATGAAAATCACCAAGACAAGTCATAAATGACTTTATAGCTGGCTCTGCCAGCCACGGTAGAGCTAACAATGCCAACAATGAAAATAACTTCAGAAAGCCTAAAAGGTTGACAGAAATCAACTCCCGAATAATGCTTTCACAGCCTTGCAAAAAAAAAATAATAATAATTCACTTTGACTTAAACCTTTCAAGTATAGGTACCCTGTTAAATCGTTCTTAATGCAGTCTACAAATGAAAACCTAATAAAGCATGTTGTGAATTTTCATACAGAAAATTTTTTCTGTAATTAGATGTCAGGAAAGCAGCAGTTTTTTTTTTTTGTTTTTTGGTGGTCATATAGGTTTTTTGGAGATGTTTGAAGCACAGTAATGTTTGAAAAGAATATTGATAAAAGATGTTAACATTTCAATGAGCAATATTCAATCTATGAGTGGGCAGCCAGGGTACAAATCAGTGAAGCAGTCAGGAAGGCCATGGCAACAGCTTTTGTTTCATGTTGATTTGTATATTTTTGTTTTGTTTTATTTCTTCCTTCTTTTAATTTATTAGCCTAACCGCTAACAAATTTAGGGTAGTTGCTATATCCTATTCTAATGCATTGATCAGATGACCTTCAAATTTCGGCCAACGCTACAATGGAGTGGTTTAAATCAAATTATATTCAAAGCATGTGGAAGAATGGCCAAGTATTAGTCCAGAATTCAAACAAGTCCAATTATAGAATGAATGTTTATGTTACAGAAAAAATCTATCAAACCCCATTTTTTTTACTTGAATTTTTGATCTAATATTTTGTAAATAAGAACATCTACAGAGGCATGTTTATCCCACAACATTGCTGCTCAGCAACACATTCAGATTTGAATGGTCTGTAGAAACTGATGATGAGAGAAAGATTGAGAAAATTAAGAAATAAAGAGAAAAGTCTATTGTTTCCGTCCCACTTCCCCCAGATTTTTGCACCATTCTTTTAAGGATGACATCACCAGCCCACCCAAGGAGGTTCTTGTTCTTTCTTCCTCTTTCTGGCCCTCTTCAAGCTTACCCAGACCCGTTACCTCCTGTGTCAGATTTCCATCACTATGGAATTATTTGTTCTGCTCAATGTGAGCTGATCTGATTTCTGCATCTAATTAATTTGTTTGTCCTTCTTTAAGGATGCTACAAAACAACCAACTAGAGAGACTTCCTGACGATGCGCCATGGGACCTCCCCAACCTTCTGTCCTTGTGAGTTTCTCTCTTACACTTATTGCACACATATTCTAATAATGCTGCTCTACCACATCCAGCAGGGAATAAAACACCCCTGGCCACCCACACATCCTAGCTCTAACCACAGTGCAGGTATAGAGTACTGCTGACAAATTGCAGACCGTACCCCAGTGCTGGCTGCAACAGTCCTGCTTTCAATGCAAGAGCCTGATGGTAACGGCTCTGATTGTGTCATAGTAGCATCTGGAAGCCATGAGGGAAACAGCAGACACTGCAGGCCAGCGAGAGCATCTCCAATGAGCTGTGAAACAACCCTATTTTCCATCAATTCCTTCTCTCTTCCTCCTCCGCTCATACTTCTCTGTTCTTCCCCCACCACCCACGCAGCTATCCCTCCGGCTAATGAGTGTGTTTGGTGGCTTAATTGTCTAATCTGTGGGGTCACAAATGAATGTCAGCATATATGTTTAGACCAGCGCGTTTGGACCTCCACTTCTGCAATTCCTCACCCATGCCTCTTTGTCTCAACTTTGCCCCAAGTTACGTAGGCCAATTCTCCGCTTTCCAAATTAATAATTCTTTGCAAACATTCTCTCTTTCATCAGACAGACGCACAAATTGCTCGAGACCAATGAAATAGGGGGTGGGCATGTTCAACATGAAACTCTTCTACCACCTACCACGTTTCTCTCTTTCCTGTAAAGTGAGCCTGTGTTCCCTAAATAGTAACAAATCCTGCACACTCACTCACTCGCAACATAACCAATCTATAAAAGCTATTTAGCATATACAAGGAGATGGTCCACCTGTTACTATCCTTACCCCAATTCTTGAATGGGTAATTATTCACATTGATACCTGGCTGTCTTCATGTATGCGTGAGGTCTACTGGTGTTTTTGATTAGAGTTTAACACATGTAATGAAAAATATGCACTCAAATATACACACAAAGCCAATGGAGAGAGAGAGAGACGCACCTTGTCATTATAGTAATGATAAGCTCTGAAGAGTAAGATTACTGGAAAGGCTTTGGAGAATGAAACTTGTTGGCGCCTCTCATTGGCAGGAGGCACATCAATTGAAAAGATAGAGAGATCGTAAATGAGTCAGGACAAGGATTTTACATTGGTATAAACATATAAAGAAGGGTATATCCTAAGTTAATCATTACTTAAGCTTAGCAAAAATCCCTTTAAGTGCAAGAACTGATTTTAAAAAATGCCTCTCACCATTTGGAACAGGATGGGGGGAGGTGTTGTTTAGTTTGGTCCCATCACAAGCTCATACTTGTGTTTCAGGCCTCAACCTGCTGGTTAAGAAGCATAATCGCTAACGATGATCTCCTCACAAGCAGTTGTTAATAAGTACAGGCCTGCTTTTTGGAGCTTGACTAAATACACTGCGTTTAAAAAATGTGCTCCTTCAACTTCCTTATTGCATAAAAGTTTAGCCATCTGGAGAATTGAACCAGCAGAGGCAGGTTCTCAGCGGTATTTTAAGAGATCTTTTTCTTTCTGTGTCCATTAAACTTTGATGTGATGGGCAGGAAATAGTCTGCTTTATTGGTTTTATTGGAACGTTCCCCATTCTGTCTGGACCATGTGGAGACCTGAACACTCTACTCAAAGGAATGCTTATTATTTTGCCCCGGAGAACAGGTCAAAAAGTTGAAGAGTCCTCTGAAGTATTTATGCTTTCATCTTTGGATTTTTATCAGGGACAAACAAGTTCCCTCTTTTAACAGTAGGTTCTTGGATGATCAGTGGGACTGAAAATGTTTACATTTTTTTTTTATCAAAAATATTATTCTTTAAGGGGGGAAAAACTGTTCCCTGGATCTTCCTATAATAAAACGGTAAAATGTGTCCAGTGTCTTTATCTCTGAAGGATGAGTTCTTGACATCATAATATGACTGAACGTTTTGGATTTGCCTCATGGAGCAGGACAATGACGTAATGGTTATCACTGTTACCATGCAGCACAATGGTGCAGGGTTTTAATCCTGGTCTGGGGTCTTTTTTGCATGGAGAATAGATGTTCTCTCTTGGTATTCTGGCTTCCTCCTTAGAAGTGAGTGTGTGAGTTTGAGTTTTTCATATGTGTCTCTATGGTGCCCTTTGACAGACTGGACAAGGTGTAACCCCACATCTCTTTAATGCCTTTGAAGAAAGACACCAACCCACCCATGATTCCGTGAGAATAATGGGGTTTAGCAATGGATGGATGAAGTGACCTTGTCAAAGCTAGGATTTAAATTGAGTCAGATGTGGCCTTGATTAGGTCATGCTCAAATTGCAAATGTTGCTGAATTAAAACTAGTTGGAGAGAAGAATGGGTTAAAACTGTGAACATGTTCTACAAAGACTGCTAGTCGTTGTAAATGCTTGATGGAAGTTGCTGTTGACAAGTGTAGAGGAAAACCCCTCATTAAGTTTAAATGGCAGTTACTGTGCCTTATAGGATTTTGGGTGGTTTGAGTAGAATTTTGTATTTAATCAGCTTATTTTTATAATATTTAGATTTATTTTTCAATAACCTGAAACATTTTATGGGACAATAAAGTTAAAACAATGAAAATGTGGAAGGGTTTAAAACTTTATAACGGTACATTGAGCATACGGATATAACTTATTCCAGTTGTGTGTAATAATATTCATGTGTTTGTGTGTTGCATCGTGGCTCTCTGTGCATTTCAGTTTTATGCATCAGCCAGAGAAGACAGTTTTATGGAAAATATTCTATAGAAGAAAAGCAGTATTTAAGTTCACATTTCACTTTGATGACGCTTTCTCTTTGGTGTTGACCTGGAGTGGCAATGAGGTTCGGAAGCGTTGAAATCACTAGCATTTGAAAAAAAAAAAGACTGGTTAGCAAGGGTGTTTTAAATATAAACTGGGTAAAATAAATAGTAAATAATTTACAATGTTTCAATGTGAACATATTTCTAAAGGCCGTATTGACATGAAATTTGAACAAGGTGGTGTTTTTGGAATGACATGGAGTACATTACGTCCATGTCTGTTTGTTAGGGCATCTAAAGAGATTGATTTTGTTCTAGTCTTAAAAAAATATTGTTTTGATTTAAAAAAATAGTACCTGCTAATTCTAGGTGATTGCTGGGATGATTAAAAGTTTTGACCTCCTTCTGTAATCAATGCCATCAGACTATTTTGCAAAAATTAGGTTGTGAAGGTGTTGGGAACACAAAAAACATCATAAGATGACCTCACCTTGGTAATGACTAATTAGTAATTTTTCCGTCATCAGTTTGGACTGAACTAGCTGTTTTTTTATTTGCATCATAGAGGAGCAGGATGGCTTTCTGATCACAGATAGAATTTAGTTGGTGTCGTGACCTTTTTTGACCACCCTTTCAGTGTGTTTTTATTAATATCTCTCTGTAATTTAACATTATCACACATAACCTAATTAGTGAGCTTATTTGTTTTCTTCCTGTACATGGATTACTTGGGTTGTTGTCAACATCTGCTTAACATTTCATTTCGGTAGCACCTTTAAAACATGTTCTCAAAGCCTGGAAATGGATGCTAGAAATTAATGGAGAGGGCCAAAGGGAGCAAAGAGATTAATGAATAAATGTGAAAGGCCAGAGAAAGAAGAATAACAGGAGGAAGTGGTCTCAGCTTGTCAAACTTGCCTTGAGGGGATCATTCATCACTATCGACAGTGTGTATCCATTAAACTGTTTACTCAGGATGTTTGTCTACACTCTTTGCTTCTGGGTATAAGGTATTGAGGGATAAAAAGCACAGATATCTTTTAGGTTCCCTATGGTCAAACACCTAGAAGTGTTCATCGTCATGGCTTTAGCAAATGAAAGCAAATGTTTGTGCTGTTTGATGCAGCTCTGTCAGACCTGATAGTAACTGAGATTCTGATGGAAAGAATGCCGACAGGAAGAACGACTCAGGACACATTTAATGGTCTTTCCCCTTTTCCAGACATGGATCGAAGAACTTTATACAACATAAATAACTCGAGGACAAGAAAAACAGGCTCATCATAGTCATTCGTACATGTTTGTGTTTTTCTCATCTTACATTCTATGCTAGTCTGAACTCGACATAGGTTATTTAGCAGGGGAATAAATCATAATGAGGAGTTCCTAAGAAGTTGTGGCAAAGATGAAAGAGAGGGGATAAAGGGCATGTAATCCTTATAATGCCATCCCCGTAATCCATAGCGTCTAGCATCATTACACAGCTACAAATACACACCAAAGTATTCATGCAAAAACACTCAACTAAGGTGATTTTTTTTGTGTGTCCCACAGGCGTCTTGATGCAAACCTCTTGAGCAAGGTTCCAGCTGAGGCGTTCAGTGGCGTTCGCTCGTTGAGACACCTGTGGTTGGATGACAACTCCCTAACAGAGATTCCTGTATTGGCCCTAGATTCTCTACCCTCTTTGCAGGCAATGACATTGGCCCTGAACCAGATCACCCACATCCCAGATTATGCATTCACCAACCTCTCGGGCCTTGTGGTTTTGTAAGTAATATCTTAATTTGTGCCATTTTACTGTAGGGAAGATGAATATTAAACACCACAGCATTTTTTTTTCTCCCTGAAGGCTATTATTTAATGGGCTTCTTAACATGTCAAAAAAGATGTTATGAAAACAGATGTTAGGAAACCACTAAGTAAAACACACAAAATAATTTTACACAATCTACTTAACAAATAGAATTATGTGCAATAAAGTGGAACACCAGAGGAAATAAGTATTGAAAACACATACTACAATTCAGTAGGAATACTTCCTTTGATAATAACAACTTAACGGAGAACTAATGCCCTTATCATTTTTTTTCATGATTAAAGTCTCAAACAAACAAACAAACCATCAAAGTCTGTGGAATTTTGACAATTTTTGACAACTGCACATTTGTTGCAGTCCTACCTTTGTGTCTAAAAGCATCTGTTAGGTGCTCTACTCCTGTTTAACAAATCTACTGCACCGGATTTTGATATGTTGGTGATTCTCAGTCATCCAGGTAATAGTCATACTACCGGTAAAAGTAAAAAAAAAAACAATCCACTGGACTTTGTTTCCAAGTTTGAAGCGAAACGTCTTCAAACTTGAAAACAAAGTCCTTTGGATTGTTTTCTTTAACTTTTTGGAATAACCTGATTTTTCTGCATTTGTAGTGGCTCAGTTGAGCCTCAACTTATCACTCAGGAACTGTTCCCATCGATAATCTGATGCAATGGAAGTTTTGGTCACGCCTGTGGCCTCAGGCATCTCTAGAGGCAGTTGCTCAAACCTATATGGCTCAAGACCACTGGCCTCCTTCACAGGACCTTCTCTTTTCTATGTCTCTGCTGAAGACGATTGGAGATAAATCCTCCACCGCAGACAAGTTTGGAGAAGCAGCTGTAGAGGCAAACATTGAGCTCCAACTGTTGACCCATTATCACCCATTATCTTTAAATATTGATTCATTCTCAATTTACTGGTGCATTTTGACCTTCTTTTAATTAAAGGTGAATTCACATATTCCATGTTTGGTCTGCTTTAAACAAACCGCAGTTTGGTCCAGAGCTTTTGTGCAGGTTGAATATACTCAAATAAATCTTGGTCCCGACTAAACAACGTGACCAAGAGTCTCCATTTGATGTGGTCTGGCTCACTTATGGGGTGAATATAAACAAGTTTTGATCTCACCCAAGTACAGGAAAAGTACACCTGTTTAGACTTAGTGATCAAAATTGTAGAATCTGTAGTGATAGTTATGAAGGCAGACCTGATCTCCAGTATTTTGTTTAAGCATCAATCCATCCATATGTTTTTATTTAGAGCACACTGTCCCCTTGAAGCATGCATTCGCCAACTTTGTCCTGAAATAGCAAATAGTTCAACCCAATGTTGAATGAATGATCTTGACAATCACAACAATTTTGCAAACATAATAACAGCACAATAATGCAGAACAGAAATGCAACACGCAGGATTTTCATGATAGTGGAGTCTTGTGCAGCAAGTGCTCGTAGATGCCATGGAAACATAGTTTTAGGCAATTCCAGGCCTTTTTTGAAGCTTTATTCAAGTGGATCTTGCTGAACTGATCCACTTTTTATTTTTACTCCTCTGTAAGAAATAATCTGAAAAGCACCTTGTAATTGATTTTCATTATGGATTGATGTCTTCCACTTTCTGAATACGGCTTAAGTGGTGATCACAGGAAAATTCAGATCTTTTGAAATACAGCAGGCCTACTGTACAGTATACTGTATGTACACCAATGGAACCAATATGTTTTGGGACCAATATGGTTGCAAATGTCCTGATAGGTATTTTTTCTAATCATCATGACATGTCTCTTCTCCAATGCTTTGAAAATATGAAACTTTTCTTTTAGTATTCAGTTCGCTAACAACATCAAAGAGCTATGGTACGGACCTTGTTTGACTTATTACTCAAGTAAAACTGTAGACAAAGTAAGAGCTTGAAAGGATTCCAGATTTCTTCAAAATTACACACTCATAACCATGTTTGGAGTTGTGCTGATTGATATATTACACCCTTTTGAAGTACATAATTTAACTGTAATGTTTGACTAACTATCCCCCCAAAAATATGAACCTTTTATGGACTTTTCCCAGGCATCTCCACAACAACCATATACAGAGCATGGGCTCAAGATGTTTTGAAGGTTTACAGAGTCTGGAAACACTGTGAGTATCTCACATGTGCATGCTTTTTAAAACATCATCAAACCTTTTACATTTTATTCACTTTATCTTTACACAGTTTTTACACAAGATAAGTTTGAAATTCTTTCATTCCCTGGACCTTAATATAGTAGCCTTGTTTCCCCCCCCAACATTGATTTAGGCTTTGTAATGATTAATTATTAGCAAGGACCTTTGCGCGTAATACCTCATAAAGTGAATATGACTTAAATCCATCACTTCTAACTCCTTTGCAGAAGTCTTTTTTTATACTGTATGTGCATAATATTGCCGAGTGTTACCATGAAAACCTGGAAATGAATGTTTTTCTAAATCATATGTAACAAGAGTGCCAAAAAATTTTAAGTGTCGGTCTCAAATCTGAAGTCAGAATGATTAATGTGCTGGTAATTTCAGCAGGTGCTCAACAAGCATTTTTCAAAACCACAAGTAACAATTGAACAGGAATGCAAAGATGAAAAGATCCCTTTTGATTACCTTGAAGCATCATCAATGGAGTCCTCTGTGTTTTGTTTAGTAATTGCTAGGCAGTGCTAAGGTCAAGAGCAGCACAGCGTGGCTCCAGGACAGTTTTCCTGGAGGACATGCCATAACCGTAATAACCTAATCCTAACCACATGCCAATATGAAGACCGCAGAAAACCGACATAGTGAAAGAAAGTGTGAGACCCCTCCCGCAAAATTCATGGTGGTCTGATGAAAACACTGTTTCTGGCATGCAGCTTTAACAACCTGTTAAAGTGTAAAAAAATTATGCATTATTTCTTTATGACTATGTGTGTGGGCATGAAAGCGTATGTGTGAATATACTCAAGTACCTTGGCCTGTGCGATCATAAACGTATGGCTCACTTTACACTCACGCTGAAAGCCATAATGCATGCTGGGAAGTGTGAGAAACTCCATGGAGGATGAAGGGAAACCAGAGAAAGTGAATAGGAGGGATGGTGTCCTTTGGACGAGAATAGTGTGTGTTAAAATGTTTGGGCTGTCACAAGGCAACAGAGATGGCTGATTCGACAGGGTAAGGTGACAGGTTTCACTGATGTGGAGACTGTGCTGGTATTTGGGGCTAAGCTCCTGCTGCGGCTTTCCTTATGAAAAATAGGAGACACCATCTGCAATACCAAGACTTACGTCAACCCCTAGCATCTACATATAAATCATAACTGTAAGGAGCTCACTGGCATTTGCAAACAGGACAGAGCAGCAATCATTTTCCAAAAGACACTGAGAGGAAAAGATACCCCACAGATTGCTTCAACAAGACACTTAAGTTGTTTAAACCGCAAATATATGTGGTCAAGTACAGTACTTTGACTAGCTGGGGAAATTGCATAAGACATTACATAAGTGTTTATGGGAATCCCCATGATTTAGTGGTTTAAGTCTCTAAGATGAATACTGGGGACCAGTGTTTGAATTCTGGTTTTGTTAGGAATGCCATCTGGCATAAAAACTTAGCCAAGTCTGTGAGCGAGTCATATTGACTTGCTGTGGTGACCACTGAATAAGGAAGCAGCTAAAAGTAAACAAACATAAATGCACACTTGCAATGGAATACAGTAAAAAAATGCACATAAAGGTAACTCATGCACAGAAGCTCCTGGTCGGTTTTTGCCATATTTATAAATATCCAACGATGCGGATCATATGGGTCATGCAGATAATTGGCTAAGGATTTATAAAGGGGGATAGTAACATTTATTCAATGACATTTACTTAGTGAGATAAAAAAATAAATAAAATGCCTCAAATTTCTGGCTACTCCACCCATTCTTTTTATTAGGAACAAGCACATTTTAACCAAAAAGGCACCAGGCAGACACAGAAAGTTAAAATAATTAAAAGGAAGATTTTTAAAGTTTCTATTTGCTAACCACACTGTTGAACTGAATGCAAGCCATAGATACTGTTACAAGGGTTAATAAATACCCAATACGTACACACAATAGAAATTTTTACTTTATTTTTCAAAGCCAAGCTATGTATCCTTACAATGTGTGTCACCAACCACTGCGACTGACATTTATTTTTTGAGATCCGCATACAAAGAAGAAGAGAAAATAAATGTTAGTTACGTAGAGCAGAAATCGGGGTGGGCAGATTCTTGCCCCAGCCATGTGAAACCAGCAGCTCTTTGGCTAAGTTGTTTAAAAGTGAGAGCTCCTCTACTTCATTCATCATTCTTACATTGTGTGAGGCATTTCATTAAGACCACAGAAAATGTTGAGGGTTAAAAAGCCAAATTATAGCTCCTGAAAATCCACCAGGCACGTTTTACCTAAATAAAAATAACAATGGCTTAAGTGCTCTCCAAATCATGTTACAAACAACTACACTGATTAGATTGGTTTCATATGCCAACATCTAATTAACTTCTCATTTAGCTTGTTTCAGATGATGTTTTGGCTTGATTAACTTGTCTCTGTCTGGGTTTTTGGGCTCCACTATGCTTTTGCTATGTGGGGTACAAAATTAGACTTAATGACTGTAGATATTATTTATTCATGACTGTTTATCTTACTTTTAGGGATTTAAACTACAATGATCTGCAGGAGTTCCCTGTGGCAATCAGGACACTTAGCAAACTTCAAGAACTGTGAGTACCCCATATGCACGCACACACCAAAAAATACACCTGTCCGGCATGACTAGCATGTTTGCGTTATCCCGAGTAATCCCATTAAGTGATTTTAATGTGGCTCTCGGATACATTCTCTCTCGCCCCAAGCAGGTGCTGGCTACACACCCACGCAGCCACTCGCCCTGCACATACACACAGATGCACACTCACAAACCGTGTTTTTCCTCGGCTTGAGCAGATGTTTTACAGAGTGCATATGTGTCACAGATACAGCATATGTGTTGTGTGTTTACGTCTCATGTGTCCAAAAATGTTCTTCAGCTGTGCAGTGGCAGGTGCAATGTAAGGGGCACATGACTCGCTCCTCCAAACAGCCCAAAATGCAAAATAACTAACTGGTTGTTTTTGCATGTTCAGGGGCTTCCATAATAACAACATCAAAGCAATCCCTGAGAGGGCCTTCGTGGGAAACCCTCAGCTTCACACCATGTGAGTTTCATGCTTATTCACAATGCTACAACTTGCACATATCAAATAAACACAACTGGAATTTAATGTCAGCATCACTTAAAGCATAGTTCATTCAAAGCGGACCATTCAGTATGTGGCTACGTAGAGTTAAAACCAGATATTTACATACACTGAACTTAAAGATATAATACCTTCTCTTCTTAGATTGAACCAGACTAAACCTTAATTTAGCTCAAGTAGGATTGCATTATTTCCTTATTTTTGCTAAATACCAAAAAAATTAAAAATAGATTTGTTTTTGTTGTTTTAATTCTTCAGTATGTTTCTCAAATTCAGACATCCAAATTGATTTACTACTTTAAACAGGTTCTTTAAAGCCTAGAACGTATTTTCTTTTCTTTGCAATTGACAACATTTAAACAGAGTGGAGGCAAACCCCTATTGTCTAAGGAGGCTCAGGAATGAAATGCTTTGTTGTGTGACAACATGGAAGGAAAGATTATGAAAGATATCTAAAGATACCTGAAGGTTTTGAGTTCATGCCTTTAAACATCTACTTGCAAGTATAAATGGGAATGTTAACCAGTGCTGCTTAAGAGTGATGGTGGGTTTCATTTAGCAAGGATTAAATGGAATTATTTTGCTGTGAAAAGAGCAAATTAACCCCGAAACAAAAACAGAGGACCTTGTGGAGATGAGTGAAGAAGTTAGAGCATCGTTTACTGCATCTAAAACAAATCCCTTACTGATCTTTACTGAAAGGCCGCTCAGAGAGGAAGAAGTCATTTCTCCAACAATGTTTCTGTTTCTGCCAAAAGGAATCAATACATAATTAAGCCAGCTATTACCCCAAATGTGTGAAGGAATGCAAAAAAAGTTTGATACTTGTCACAACAGTTTGTTTCAACATAATTGACCGCAAATATGTCTGATGTTTTGACTTTAATGAAATGTTGAAAAAGTTTTTATTTATTATTTAGCAAATAAAAATTATATTTCTAATCTAATTCCTTTTCTTATTTAATAGAAAAGGAAATGTTTAGTGTGATTCAATACCAGGCAAAGAGCAAAAAAATAAAGCTTTTTAATGCTTAAGTACCTTTAAATGTCTGTTTTCAGTTCTATTTATTTATTAATAATTGTTTTCTTGCAGCCACTTCTATGAGAATCCCATCCAGTTTGTGGGGAAATCTGCTTTCCAGTTCTTACCAAAGCTGCACACTCTGTAAGTATGTGGGCAATAAAAACCATTCCAGTGTGTTAGCACAAACACCGTTTAAATCATCCTCTGGCTTTTGCAGCCAGAGCTCAGCGAACATGTCTAATAGCCTACTGAATGATGTTGTGTTACTGTATTGCTGTGCCGTGTGCTGCGGTAGAAGAAGAGTGAGCTGTAAGAACATGTTGAATAGTGTGACTTATGATGTCTGGTGAGAAGGCCAAAACAGCCTGTGTTGATGTTGGAGGAACAGTTTGATGGCTGAAATGAGCTGTTAGACAGGGGCTGCATTTATGTGTGTGTATGTGAACATGAGAAAGAGAAGGGGAAAAAAAAGAGCAGGTTTAAGTTTTGTTCCTTTTCTTTTTTTTTTTTTTTTTACATCAGTTCTCTGAATGGGGCAACACAAATTCAAGAGTTTCCCGATTTAAAAGGAACAACCAGCCTGGAAATTTTGTAAGTTTTAAACACTTAATAATATCTAAACAATTAAGGGAGTCTCTAATACTTAGGAAACCAATAGAATAATAATGAAGGTGTATGCTTGTTATATTACTTTGAGAAAGGTTTGGTGGACCAAATTGGTTTCCCTCCACTCACAAGACTGGGTGAATTTTTCTAGTTACTTTCTTTCCAACATTAATCCAAAGATGCTTTTCAAATTTTCCTCTATAGGACGCTGACCAGAGCTGGTCTCTCAGCTCTTCCAATGGATCTATGTGAACAGTTGCCTCATCTAAGAGTGCTGTGAGTGAATGCAAACAGACACACACACACATAAGTGAATGACCAAAAATAAAATGGCACAAAAAAACTCAAATGAGGAGAGCAGTGTCCCAGATCTTTAACTAATATAAATCTTTCATTGTGAAATTCAACTGTACCGCTAAAAAAAAAAAAAAAAAAGCGCAAACAACTGAAATGTATTGTCCTACAGTATCCTGTTGCTCACAGAGCTGACAGGGGGTCAATGCATTTCTTTGTGTCTAAGTTTCTGTGTGTTTTGTTTTAATTATTGCTATTATGTGTTTAGGGAGCTGTCTTACAACCAAATAGAGGACCTTCCTAGTTTTTACCACTGCTCTGCACTTCAAGAGATGTAAGTCATTTCTCGCTTTCTACTATTCTCTTTATATAAAGAAATGTTTGATTATCAAGGGTATCAAGTGTTTGAAACAGCTATAGTTTAAAAACTGCTCAAATTTTCCATCGTATAAAGTCATGTCTAAAATCGAATAAGTTGCTCCATCTCCATCTGGTCGATACACTTCTCAAGATAGGGTCGTACATCTGTGTTGTTCAATCAAAAATATATATGTTTGAATATTGTCATGTCCTGAGACCAGGCATGTGTCCGATTTAAGTTGTGTACCTTTGAAACACTTCTCTGTATGTAAGCCTCTTTATTTCTGTTTTCAACAGCGGACTGCAGCATAATCAGATCAAAAGAATAGAGTCGAGCACCTTCCAGCAGCTCTCCTCTCTTAGAGCACTGTGAGTCGATCTTCAATCTAATTTTCCACTTTCTCCCACATGTCTCCCATTAGTTTCTTTGTACAATTTACTGTACCCGGAGAGTGGGTCATTTATGAAAGGAAATGTTATAGGTTTTATTGCCAGATGATCCAATTCACATTTGGATTTTGGCAGTAAACCTATATTGCAGCAATGTTGAATGTGGATGTGTTAGAAAAAATGCTGTATGTATTCAATAAGGGTTTTTATTGGTTGCGTTTGTTGATTATAATGTAAAGTACTTGTAAAGTACTTTTTATGAATGCATTGACATGTGGCTTATAACAGAATAGAGCTACAAGGCATCCCTCCACCTTAGTAAACCTTTTCCTTGAAAGTTGTTGAATGTTTGCTGTTTCATCGACGTTTTAAGTATTTCATTTAATAAATGCCTTTGTGTATAATGTATAAACATCAAAGACCCGAGACTAAACCCCTTTTCCAGAACAAAGAGGCTGCATGCTTGTTTATGTCGGGGCCTGCTTGAATCTCGTTTTAGGATATATTAACTGGTCATGATGTCATTTTGAGTTGAATCGAAATTATTTGATGTACTGTTGAACCTATTTATAACATTCCCTAGTTTGAATGAAGATGCAAAAGTCATCTCAATTCTTAAGTTTGAGACAAACAGGAATTTGCACATTATAGACCTACTTTCATCTTCTTATAGTTTTCCAAGATTTGGAGAAGTTATTCCACAAAACAAATCTACAATTACATTGAGAAACATGATAGTTTTAGACCCAATAGAGGAACCACCTTGGCAACACTGGATCTTGAGAAAAAATGTTAATTGCTAAAGTTAAAAAATATTTTGTTAAGATTTTTCTATTTTATCCAAAGATCTTGATACTGTTGTAAATTAATAATGATAAATCTGTACAATTAAATAATTAGAGGTGGGGCCCTTTCTTGAGCTATCTGAAGAGCAGATCTCAGTATGTCTAAGTTAATTGATTCTAAGTTGCTAACAGTCTCATGCTGCCTCTCACAGGAGTCATTATTAAGACTTTATTGTTTAGCACTGCTGCCTTGCAGCAAGAAGGTTCCGGGATAGTTTCCCGGCCCGGGGTCTCTCTGCATGGAGTTTGCATGTTCTCTCTGTGCATGTGTGGGTTCTCTCCGGGTACTCTGGCTTCCTCCCACAGTCCAAAAACATGACTGTTAGGTTAAATGGCTTCCCTAAATTTTCCTGAAGTGTGAGGGTGAGCATGAATGGTTGTCTCTATGTTGCCCTGCGATGGACTGGCGACTTGTCCAGGGTGTACCCTGCCTCTCGCCCATAGACAGCTGCACCCATTTGTGACCCCGCTTGGGATAAAGCGTGACAGAAAATGGATGTATGGATTGATGTTTACAACAAACTAAATTCTTAATTTTTGGTAATTGAGACAATGGTGAGAACATGAAATTATATTTAATAGGATTAAAAAATGTTTGTTTGGCATCACTAGTAACGGCATGTGTCCTATTTATTCTGCAATTTTAGCCACTTTGTTCCCTTTAGAAGAACAAATGCAACTATTTTACTGTATGACATCATATGCCTTATTTTGCTCTGGTGAGCTGGATAAATGGTGTGCCAGGCCAGATTTGGTCTGCAGGCCTCAATTTGGCAGATAAATATTAGATGTTGACAGTAAGGTGGTCATATAAAAGCTCTTCATGCAGAAAAAGGTGGCTAGCAGTAGGTTTGCAATTGACATGAATGACTGGAACAATGGTGGATATTTCTAAGAAGAGGTTTAATGATGGATGTTTTGAAGTTAGTCACAGACTATGAGAACAGAAACAATCTTAAGAGAAGAAATGGCATCCTCTTATCACTAGTCTTAAAAACTAAAAGAGTGACACTTAAAATCAATACATTTCAAAAGAGGGATTTTGTATCCTCATACTGACACCTAATGGTCAAACTTTACAAAGTACAGATTTAATATTGATTCCAGACTACTGGTGAATCAAATACACTTTCTCTTCAGCGCATTTTAAATAATAAAAAAAGCTTTCGCCTGATTCTGTGATAGTCTGGATTTAAAAACGGAGACAGGCCAGAGTTGTCTCTTCTTTCAGAGGGTATGGGAAGGCTGCCTGACAAGTATGTAACTGTAACTTCCATTTCAGGTCCATTTCAGCTTACTTGAAGTATTTTTTTTATTATTATTGTTTTTCTCTGACAGTGATCTAAGCTGGAACATGATCGAATGGATCCACCCAGATGCCTTCGCCTCTCTTCACTCTTTGATTAAACTGTGAGCAACAACAGATACACATCTCTCACTTAGCCTGTCATAGATTTTATCTTATCTCTATGCTGTACCTTCTCACTTAAATGGGTGACAAGGCTTTGTATCAGAAAATATCAGAATGTAAGAAATGTGGGCTTAAACACTAAAGGTTCAGTCAAGATTTTAGTCTTGATGAATGTGTAGCCAAGAGTCGTGCCAACTTGAAATTGTATCATCTGGGTGGAGATTGGAGTTTGGTTACATAATCTGATAGTATGTACTATCCAGAGATAATTTGCTAACATGTCAAAACAGGTTAAAATATCAAAGAGATTGAATTTTATCCATTCTGAGTACTTTGCGTGCATAACACTTTGCTTTTTGTTTTTTATTTTGATATAGGGACCTGAGTGAAAACCGTCTCAAGTTTTTACCAGTCACAGGTTTGGGTGGCCTTACTCATCTAAAGCTGAGGGGGAACAAAGAATTATATGAGGCATTTAGTGCTGATCACTTCCCACATATGAGGTAATCAACAAACACGTCATCTACATAAGTAAATGTTTTAGATAATTTTCACTAACATGACCTACAATAGAAAATGCTGCATGTGTGCATACGTCACCCAACTGCTGAAATACGAAGTCATTCCTAAATCCACTTTAGATAATATAAATGTGTGTGTAGTAACAAGCCAACATTTGTTCCCAAATATCTTGAAGGTATGTTTTGTTATAAGTTGATGAATAAAACTTAAAAAAATAAAACACAATTAAGGTTCAAAGCAACACCTATCTGGTGTAACTGTTGTACTTTGCTTAAATACCACCTGTTTTGGTATTTGCTTTGAGCTGATAATACTGTTTCCCATCTACTACAGGGTGATAGAGATGCCTTATGCGTACCAGTGCTGTGTGTACGACTCCTGTAAGAGCTACAAGCCCACCACACAGTGGGACTCAGAGCTGAGCAACACCAATGAAGACCTACACAAGAGAACAGTGGCCATGTACCCCATCCATACAGACACTAACTGTAAGATTAAAATCTTTGCTCATCTGACACTTTATAAAGTCACTATATATCAGTATGTCATCAAAACTACATGTATTTGGTACCTGGTTTAATTCCTCATACACATTAAACATACCATGCTTTCCTCCAGACATTCTTGTCTTGTTTTTTTGATTAACACACATAAACATAAATGCAATCAAAACCCCCAGAAAATATATACTTTACTGAGTGAACACTTTACTATTTTGGTTTAATAGAATTGTGCTGCACCTTAAATGATCAACAACCACGCAGTGATAATGGACTTGCATGAATGCCATTTAGTATCTAAAAATGTTAAGTAAGGTTATATTATGATAGCACATTATCTAAGATATAAAATATGTAAATATAATATGGTCTCTAATTGGTTTTTGACTCATCAAAAATTGTATGTTCTAGATGACCCAGATCTGGAGGAGTTCCAGTTAGAAATAGAAGAATCCAAGTTACAGAGCAGTGTCCAATGCACCCCCATGCCTGGTAAGTGAAGTCACAGATTAGATTTTGTAAGGTTTTAACTTTAAGCTCAGGTGAGTAAGTATTGACAGAAGGTTTGTGTTTATTTTGCAGGTCCATTCCGTCCCTGTGAATCCCTTCTGGGCAGCTGGCTAGTCCGCATTGGCTTGTGGTCCATCTCTCTGGTGTCTTTTCTTGGAAACGCCATCCTGCTCCTGTCTCTCTTCGGATCATCGGGCAGCCTGTCACCTCTCCGCTTCATCGTGGCCTGTATGGGCGCTTCCAACCTGCTGATGGGGTTGTGTACATGTACATTGGTCCTTGTGGACGCTCTCACTTTGGGAGAATTCAGTGACCACGGAGCCCGATGGGAGGGGGGACCTGGTTGTCAGGCGACCGGATGGATTTGGGTGTTTGCATCGGAGGCCAGCGTGCTGCTACTGACTCTGGCGGCGGTGCAGTGTGGTGTGAGCGTGACATGTGCACGCACTTACAGGAAATCTCCATCCCTTGGCAGTGTGCGCACATGTGCATGTTTTTGTCTCACCCTCTCCCTCACATTTGCTTCACTCCCACTGGTTGGAGTGGGGGAGTACGGATCTTCACCCTTCTGCCTTCCTTCTCCCCTGCCAACATCATCATCGCGCTTGCCATCCTCCCTGGGCTTCTCCTTGGCTCTCATTATGATGAACACCATTTGTTTGCTTATAGTCACAGGGTCATACATCCGCCTGTACTGGGAGTTACTTCGGGGGGAGTGTGAGGGCTTGTGGGACTGTGCTATGATCAAACATGTTGCCTGGCTGATCTTCAGTAATGGTCTCCTCTACATACCTGTTGCTTTCCTGTCTCTTTGTTCCCTTTTGGGTCTTCTCTCTTTGGGCGAAGAAGTTCTTAAATCAGTTCTTCTTCTCCTACAGCCACTCCCTGCTTGCCTCAACCCTCTGCTGTTTCTCCTTTTCACAAGAGACCACTCTCAGTTGTTCTCCTGGTCTCGTCCTAAAGCTCGCCCACAACTGCGCCGGGACCGCACCTTAGACTCATTGGTTTCTGTGGAGACGGAAAAGAGCTCCTGCTCAGATTCATCAACACAGGTGTCACTGACTGATGCTGATGCCACATACACTGCAGGGTCCCCTTCTCAGCCTGGAATGGATACAATCAGGTTTTCCCAGTGCTCCTCTACATCCTCTGTTCACCTCATCCCTTGCCAAGTACCAACCGTGACAGTTCGAGAAAGGGTGACAGAATGAGGGATCATGGAGTCTGGATCAAGATGTGATTCTTATATTTTTTCTCTCTGTGCTATGCTACAATGACTCACCTTATATCAACAAGGCCCGAAAACAGCCTTACTGAAAACGTGGCGGAAAGAAATGGACATCCAAGGACCATATCACTGCTACGTTTATGGGCTACCTACCTATAAACTCTTGAGAATAAGTCAACTAAATATGTTGACTACAAAAGTGACAAGTGAACCCTCTTTATGAACAGAGATCTGTAAGTTGCCTTTTTTGGCAGTACTCTAGAACTAAAGGAGAATTGCAGAGTATCTAGCGGAGTCAATCAATAACATTTTTATGATCAGAATACAAAAAAAGCAGTTAATTACATTGAAAACATGAGGCATATTAAGAGTTTACCCTGCGGTAATGTTTATACTGAAATGTGATGTGAAATGAGGCTCCAAAGTTGCATAATCTTTAAGTGGAGATTTTTTTTTCTTTTTTTAATCTAATTCTATTGTAACTATTTCATGGAACATGAGACATGTCTTGTCCAGAGCAATTTTACTGCCATATAAAAGGTTTTGCAGCTGTGTAATACAAATGTTCAAAAAATGCTGTTCTTTAGGTGAAAAAGTGATGCAAAATATTCTGGGCCACACATGTAGTTTTATATGGTTTACATGACTCTGCTAAAACAATGCAGTTTTGTCCAACAAAGCATTAAGCAATCTTATGGATTGAATGGGATATAGCTGTATTCCTGCCAACCTTAGAGTAGGCTATTGATCTCTGTATACATACAATGTAACTACCTCTAAACTATGGTATTGACTCACTACAGCCTTAATGTCTTTTTATAAACAGCAAATATATATAATTTTATATATTAAAAAAAACAAAATCTTAGTTTGTAAAAAAAAAAAGAAACATGTACCATTTAGGTTGTACATACTTTATATGTATTTTAAACATATGTTTGAATAAAATTATGATCCACATTGCATAAATATGGAGCTCTTTTCTTATGATACAAGCAAATACCACATGATTTCACAATACAGTATGACAGAGAGATCTGCAAAGTTTTATTATAGACAGAGGCACACATTATACTTTTTTAATATGCATTTATTTAACATGTAAAAATATAAAAACTAAATAAAGTCACTAAAGTTAACATTTGCACAAAAAATGTTGGTTTGCAAGATGAAAATGCTCTATTGACTAAGGGGGGGAAACTACACACATGGTCTCTTCACTGGTTTTTCTGCCTCCTGCTGGGAACAGAGGGCATCCCGTTTCCGAGATGGTGCATTCGGATCTGTAGCGTTCTCTTTGCCGTTTTCTGAAACTCTCTTAGCAACACACACACAAAAAAAACACATTTTAGACAATCATAGTTCTACAGAAGAAAACTCGAGCAACGTAAAAGGTGCTAAAAGATTCAACATACACATAAATATTATAATCTTTTTTTCCACTTTGTTGCTAAAAGTCTCTTAAATCAACATTCAATGTTCTTTTGGTGCAGTAAATGTGCCCATCAAGCCATTACTAGAATCGAAGACAGTGTTGGGCTCAATTCTGGGACCAATGGATGAAAACAATGCAGAAAATAAACTGCTCACAAGGTTTCACAGATTGTTTTTCTAACATAAAGGCACTCATTATGTGTAATGTTTCGATAATAAAACTCTGAGAAATAGTGTGATAACTTGCCTTATGACACAACCAACTCCTAACCATAAAAAATCAAACCTTTTCCAAGAACAGTACATGAGAAAGGACGGAAAATTGAAATTGATTTGTTCATATCTGAATGGAAACCTTTAAGAAAAAAAACCTAGAGAAAAGCCACATAAATGTTAATAAACATAAAATCATATCCATAAAGTATCTTGAAACTGGACATAAAGATAAGGAATGTCCTAAAACTTTCAATAAATTTTAACTAACAACAGCAGTAGTGATGTTGTAGAGATCAAGTTAAATCTAGATGCAATAGCACAGCCTTGTGGTTCAGATAAGATACTGCACAACATAGGGCATTGCTGTGGAACCAGCAAGATCCTATCCATGCACACATCACACAACAGTGATAGAAGAAAATAAAATTAAACTGTATTACTTTGTTCCTCTGAAGTGCATGTTCCCGTGTCCACTTCTTAGCCTTCTCTGTGAACAGGTGCTTGTTGTATTTGAACTCTGATGACTGCATTGAAATAAAATAAATGCATGGATTAACAGACATTTAATATATCTCAATCTGAAGACTCGGTTTAGTTTTAGAACAGCGCAAACACACAGTTATAGGTAAGGTCCAAAAAAGAAAAAGGATTACATGCAACTCACTATATCAGCCATAAGTGGGTCATCAGGATTGGGCTCAGCCATGAGCAGCTGGATAGAGGTGAGCACTGTCGAAATGTTTAAAGATGGCCTCCAGGCACCCTGAAAGAAAAGAAAAAGCAAAAAAGAAATAAAAGCTTTGAATATGAGCTCAGATCTTTGAGAGCAAATAGAAAATAAAACAGTTTCTTATTTTCACAACCTTTGGTGGGAGTTTAAGAGCATCGTGGCAAATTCTCCCAGAGTTGTCGATGTTCGGGTGGTAGATTGGGGTGGAAAATCGGATGTTTGGAGGTTCAAATGGATACCTAAGACAAATCAAAGGTAGATCTATTGTGTTTTGATGGTTAAAGATGTGTCAAATTTTCTAAATGACAGAAATAGTACCTTTCTGGGATCTTAACCTCTAGGGTAAAAAGTCCACCTTCATAAGGCGTTCCTACACCACCGACTATCTCTGTAAAGGAATGGTTTATACCAATAACATACAGAAATGTGTCTTGAGATGTCAATGTTTTAGGTTGCACAAGTTATTTAACATCCTTACACAATCAAATGTTTCTACACTGCTTGACCAAAAATGATTACACACTCCAATATATTAGCTTTGATAACGGCACGCATTCACTGGGGCATTTTGCTGGATTAACTTCTGCAATGTCACAAGATTTATTTCCATCCAGTGTTGCTTTAATTTTACAACAAGCTCTTCAGTTTATGGTGGGGGAGTCTGGCCACAGTGCAAAGGCAACTCAAGCACACCCTTTAACATCTCAAAGGGGTTAAGATACTCTTACTTTTCATTGCTAAACACACCCCTGAGCTCTATTGTTTTTGTACGATTTGATTCTGCCAAACATTAAAGTGATCGCTGATCACAATCTTTATTTAGTATTAGGGCTGCAACTAAAGATTATTTTGCAAATTATTATTCTGTCGATTACTTTTTCTATGAATCGATTAATAGTAGGATAGCTAAAGGTTCCTTAAATAAGACTTTTAAGAAATTAAACAGATGAAACTAAAACTTTTCCTCTTAAAGGGATAGTTCGGGATTTTTGACATGAATCTGTATGGCATCCCCATCACCAGTGTCATGCAATCACACTGACTTACCCCTGGCAGCATCCTGTGAGCAGAGTTCTCGTCCAGCTTTGGTCAAGCCGAAAGTAGTCCGGCAGGTTTGCTAGACCCAGCGAAATAAAACGTTTCTCTTCCCAAAACATTATGTGTTCAAAAGAGTGATATTTTTGCATCCCAAAAACATTGTAGTGGAAAAAGTCACACGTCGTTATCACTTGGTCCTATTTTCTCTCTGTTCGTATCAGTGCGCGCCGTCATTCTGACAGCGAGCTCAACTTTGAGGAGGGCAGGGAAGTCGCTGTTGTTTGTGATGCAGACAGCAGCTGCTGCGACTCCGACATCCTCATCAATGGAAAGGTTCTGTATCTCGGGCATTACTAAATCCCACTCGTGGCAACAGTAGCATCCACCTCTGTCTGCATTAATTCGCACTTGAAACAAGTGCACCATGATTTGTCAGCCACCCTGGATATCGCAGCTCCAGCTGAGGCTCCTGCGGCTCCAACTTCAGCTTCCATCACTTCTCTGTCCACCCTCTCTCTTTCTGCCCGATCTAACTCCATTTGTCGAAGTTCATCGTCAGTGTACTCGGGTTCATAAAGATATCCCTTTGGCTCTAAGTGGAAGTCGATGTTTTCCTCGTCGCTCTCGTAGTCAGACATCTTCCCCAGTAGTAAACAATCGTGAATCAAACAGGTAGGCCCTAGCTGTCAGGTCATGGTGTCGCGCGCACTGATACGAACAGAGAGAAAATAGGACCAAGTGATAACGACGTGTGACTTTTTCCACTACAATGTTTTTGGGATGCAAAAATATCACTCTTTTGAACACATAATGTTTTGGGAAGAGAAACGTTTTATTTCGCTGGGTCTAGCAAACCTGCCGGACTACTTTCGGCTTGACCAAAGCTGGACGATAACTCTGCTCACAGGACGCTGCCAGGGGTAAGTCAGTGTGATTGCATGACACTGGTGATGGGGATGCCATACAGATTCATGTCAAAAATCCCGAACTATCCCTTTAAGGAATTCTGGATAGAGCATATATATTTTTTATCCTAAATGCAAAATGTATACATATTATTTTACAATTTTAGTATAGTTACTGTTCTAAGTGGGTTGCTCGGTCAGTTAGAGGCATGTTTTTGGAGTCTCTATTCTCCAGTTAACGATTAATTGATAACTAAATTAGTTGACGATTATTTTATTAATCCAATAAATTGATTCAACCCTATTAAGTATAATTCTTTTTATGGGCCAGGCAGTGTATTTGTATTCATTCTTGAAAACAGCTAAATATGGCTCAAGGATCATTTAAAAGACAATAAATCCTAATTAATGTGCACAATGTCATAAATGTCCTCCATCCTTCTGAAAAAAAATCTGTTTCAAGGTTGACAAAATTCTTGCATTAAACATCAGAAATTGCTTCAATAAAAAAATTCTGGGATTATTACTGTAATTTCCCTCTGGGATTATTAAAGTATGTCTGATTATTAAAGTATGACATAAACCCAAGTATAATTCAAGTATCTGCAATGAGCATTTCTCCAAACCCTTAACATTAACCTAAGCAATATTTATAAATGTACAAAAAAAAAGATTTTGTTTGAGATTACAAACCTGCTTTTCAAGTTATCATTAAATATAATCTTAACATATATTCATAGAAATATATTTAAAAAAATTAAAAATTTAATCCATATAAAGAAAATATAAAAGTACACATATGATACACAAGTTGATTTAAACCAATTGGTGAATCTAAAATATCACCCTTCTACACATATTCTGTGTTATATCGAATACTATGTATACAGAATGGGAATGACAAGAATATGCAGGTATTTAATGATTGTTCTGGTGTAAAGTTGGGGCTACTATAATGAGTTAACTCTACCTGAACTGTTTTATCATGAATAGAGAGATGTCTATTGGTAGCTTACGTGCTTGGAGCTCATCCATCCGCTCCTCTACCTGCCAGCATGTTATCCCAGGAGGAGGCTCAGTGCTGAGCATCTGAAGCTCGCGCTTTAAACGGGAAGCTCTCTGCATTCTATGGAGAAAAAAAACACAATGAAAGCAAATTTTAAACACATGTAAATAAAGTCATAAAGTTCACTCAGCAATAAAGCTAAACTGAAATTATTAACACAGCTTGTTGTGGGTGAAATTTTAAAAAGTGTTGCTTAAAAGACGTGCTTAAAACCATAAGGCATTAAAAAAAAAATAATAACATTTTGAGGTTTGAAATTGAAGTTTGCAAAGCTTAGCTGGATACTATATAATGTGGTTTTAAGGAATGCTTAAACAACATTAAGGTTTAATGAATCACATTGTATTTTATAAAATAAGTGTTTGAATTAATTATCATGTTGCCAATGTTTGATCTGCCTAACCTTAAAGTTGGAGTTCATTTAAGGTGGTCTGGAACCAAACTAAAAATAACAGTAAATCAATTTGCA